GGTCGCGTCGGACGGCTAGGACTACTGCAACCTGTGCAAGCTGCAAGCCGCCTCGTGCCGCGCGCGGTTCGCCTTCTTCGGCCCCGTGCGCGCGCCGGACGCGTGCCGCATGCGCCCGATCCCGCCGTTCGAGGCCGGGCGGTGCTGCGCCGAGCGCGGGATCGGGTGCCTGGGCAACGGAAGGCGCTGCTCGACGCTCGGGTCGCGCATCCGCCCGGTGCCGTGCAAGACGGGACTCACGTGCGTCATCCGCGACTTTGGGTTCCCGGCCGCGGACGGCCCGAACAGCGGCCGCTGCCGCAGGGTCAGGAACGTGCGCAAGTGCTCCGTGGGGAGGTGCACGCGGTTCGGGCCTAGGCACGTGTGCGAGGTGCCGCTGCCGAGGGGGAGCGGGATCGTGAGCACGTGCCGCGCGTGGGCGAGGAGGAGCGACGGCAACCCCGGGCCGGACTGCTCGTTCGCGTGCATTCTCATTTGTGCAGTCGGGGATGCGCGGCCGCTCGCGAGTAATGGGAAGAGGTTTTGCTCGATCTGTCAGCTGAGGCAGAAGAGCTGCACCACAGGGTTTAGGGTGTTTGGACCGGTTAGCCCGTGAGGGGGCGTGGTTGATTGAGCTCCCTGGGATGGTATTGTAGTAGGTACCCTGGGTAGCTGCACGTTTTTTTTTCTTCTTAAAACGGTCTATTCTCTTTCAGAGATGTTGGTGGGTGGGGTGATGTGTGACGACAAGCAGCACGATAGCAAAGGAAGTAGGCAGATGGGTGTCTATCTATTAAGTATCTATTAAGGCCTAGTTAGGGGTTTCAGCCTACGAAGTATAGGCAATTCAGAGTGATATTGGGAGCACTGCGTATGTGCAGATGATTTAAATGCTTTATGCTTCGTGAGCAAGGCATTGTCTCATATCCATTCACATCGTTGAGACTGTCGATGTGGCGATGGTTGAGGTATGAGAGGGGAAGGATACTAAGGATACTGGACTACAGTTGGCACTCCGGTGTACAGTATTATTTAGGTGGGCGGCGACGGCCGCTCTGTGACCTCACGCCATTCTCTGACAACCCGAATGGGTTGTCAGAATATAGCATAGTCAAGAGTCATTCTCTACTGTGCTCGCCCCTCGACGACCGGCCGAGGTTCCGGCGCTAGCGGTCCCTGCCGCCACAGCAGCGGCAGGGCCTAATGGGTGTGACGATGGAGGGGCGGTGTCGGACGAAACTAATGACCGCTACGTGGTCTCGGCGTTAGCGGGGATCTACAAGCGTGAGCGCGGTCTGGTAGCCCGAGTAAACTTTACCTTTCTCCAACTCTCGTTGTTTGTCTCGGGACCAGATTGACAGAGACGCATGAAGATACAACCTCCAGAGATACAACCTCCAGAGATACAACCTCTAGAGATATTCGCGATGCAATCAAAACTATAGCCAATCACAGATGACCATCTGCAACAAGGACTTAGTCAGGCAGTACTCATTACAGCCGCTCTTTACAGCCGCATTATTGGATGTAGACTCAGTCTACATCCAATAATGCGGCTGTAGTCTACTAGACTCCGCCTCCGTCTCATTAATTAAAAAACTTCGGATCTTTGTCAAGATGGCATTCGAAGGTTGCGTTGCCCTACGGCCCCCGTCCATACCACTAGTTTTTCGGAAGATTGCGACAACTGGGCATGATCCTCAATATCACTACAGCCGATGTGTCCATGTTGCAACAAGTCTGAACGACAATGCATGAAGAGCACTACTCCGTCGATTGGCGTATACGAATGAATCCCAGAAAGGGAGGTGGGCACAACGTCTGGAAATTCTAATTTCGTTTACGAGATCTCTCTGATTCGTGCGCTGCGTAATGTCGGGTGACCAGATGCTTATCAAAGCAACCTAAGAAAGGAAGAGAACAGCAGCAACTTCCGAGATGACGAGAGAAGAGCTACAAATGGTTGAACTGGCAGAAAGGGTTGTTTTCCTCCCACGGATAACAGCAGAAGTCTAGACCAGGGGGATAGTTGCTCGCACCTAATGAATGCGAAGAAGAAGAAGTGAAACAAATTTAAGACGAGGTAGTGGACACAGATTCGAGAGTTTTTGGTGTGAGTTGCAGATTTCCATTGTCGCCCAAAAACATTTCCTGGATGATAGAACACTTACAATCAGGGTCAAATTGGCGGCTAACCTTTCCAAGCTTGGGAAGGCGAGGCTGCGCCGGAACAGCCGCAACTACGGCCACAAGACAGGCAAGGAGGCAGATGGCGAGGGAGAACTTCATAGTGCAGAGGCGAAGAATTTGCTGAAGTGAGAAACGATTTGCTGTTGCAGGCGATTTGCTGTTGCAGGGAAGGGATGAGTGGGGAGGTTTTGCTTTCCTAGCGCAAGGGTTTTATAAGTGTTTTGGGAAGCTACAGCATAGGCACGGCACTACTGCACTGCTTCCACATTGCGTGATCTACCCAAGGGTAGCCAGACCTGCGACTTTCTTCGTTCGTTGACCACCTGATACTACGGACTCTGTATTATGGGTTTGGATATTGTACTGTCGATTGGGGCTCACAGAGGATGCCACACCAAGTTTTTATCACAAGAGGATCAATGACGGATGCAATAGAAGTCAGTCCGTTAATCACCTGATTCCATCGAATAGCAAGTAGCGTTTTGTTTTTGTTTTTCACACGGGCCCACAAACAATACTTACGCTGTCCTCCTGTAGTTTTACATTCTCTGGAGATGGGTACACCAGATTCGCTATGTGGTCCGGTACGCGAGAGAAAATGGCATTGGCACTATTCTCGGGCGGGTTCTCCCTGGTTTTAAATAAACTTTTTTATTATGCGATGTGCACCCCATTCTTGGGGGCATTAACTATAGACCGACAAGGGCTAGATACTGTACTTGCACGGTACACGTGCTGTCACGACTCTCTCGTGGACCGCTTTGTTGACAGATCATTCAGGGACTTTGGAGCTATTGGGTAACTGCCTCTCTTTTGCCTCCTGCCTCTCTCCGCCTTGCTCTCCGCCTTGCTCTCCTCCTTCGCCTTTCTGCAAACTGCAGCTCTCTCCTGCATTCATCCTTTATCTGGCAACAGTCGTCGCATTCCAGCGTTCGCCACGATTTCTGGTTGCGAATATTCGTTCGAATGCGTTATGTCCTTCCGCTTCCCGCAACCGACAGGGACGTGTGTCCAACATGAGTACGACGTTTCCACATGCAACCCGGGTTCGGTGTGGCGGTGTGGCGGGTGGGTCCTATCGGGTATGCACATCTACGACGCTATGCTACAACAGTACTGTATGTACAGTACAGTACTGTACTACATTGCGAGCTTCCTTAGACACAAGTCGTTCGCCAAACAACGAGAACTCTGAATCACAAGTTGCGTGATACAGTCGTCCTTCGATTTGAGATGTAAGGGCAGCGGGCGCTTGGATGCAGTTGCTTCCGACTCGTTGTTGGCAGGATTATCTCCATGCGAGATGTGAAGATACGGAATGGTACTGGAGTACACAGCAGAGCAGGTGTTGATGCAATCTGAGATCCGTCGGAGGGATTATTGTTTTGTATGTACAGTACAGTACTGTACTACATTGCGAGCTTCCTTAGTGTGGTAAAAGGGAGTGCCCCCTGGCCAGGAGACAGGTGGGGGGGGGTGTGCACAGTATATGTAGTAGCGAAGTCCGATAGAGCTGTAAGGAAAGGAGCGTAGGGGAAGATCGTAGGAAGGATGAGCGTTAGCGAAATCCAACAGTCGCCGCGATCTGACTTGTAGTGAGGTGAATGAAAGCGGGGAAGTACTGAGGAAGCAGAGGCCGTGGTGTTTGAGCGTGCTTGGGGATGATGAGCAGCAGAGGCCTTGGTATTTGAGCGTGCTGTAAGAGGGTGGTGAGTAGCAGAGGCCTTGGTGTTGGAGCGTGCTGTAAGGGGGGTGCTTGACAGTCGCCGTACAGTTGAAAATCTTGGAAAACGTTGAAAGTTGAACTCGCGATCACTGGTGTTGAGCATCAGTGCGCAGCAGGATGCGCCACGGGACCATAACCTGTGGTAAAAGGGAGTGCCCCCTGGCCAGGAGACAGGTGGGGGGGGGTGTGCACAGTATATGTAGTAGCGAAATCCAACACTTAGACACAAGTCGCTCGCCAAACAGCGAGAACTCTGGATCACAAGTTGCGTGATACAGTCGTCCTTCGATTTGAGATGTAAGGTAGCGGGCGCTTGGATGGAGTTGTCGAGGAAATGCAATCATCGAAAGTGTTATCACATCAAACCGGCATGCTGGTTTTCTATCTCTGTAGTTTGATTGGGACACTTGGTCCAATATAGAGCCGTCGTTGTATCCCATGCCAGTTTCGGTTTTTCTTCAAATTGGTGTGACGTGTTCTGATTTTTTTGAGGTTTTTTATGATAAAGCCAGCTGCCGTTGTAGTGTCTAGGTGACAAATGACCTCATATGGGGTCACTTTTTGTGATTGCGTAATCGACGACGATCCCTTTTGGCCGTCGGCGTGGTTTATTCAGATACTTAAAATGGGCGCTGGAGTCTTCGTGTGTACGTGTACACGTTGCATAATAATAATACTGGCTTGGGGCACGCGTTTTCTGTGTCTGAGCGTTTTGTTTTGGTTACGCTTTGCGTAATAACACTCCTCCTGCTCGGATGCAGGTGTCAGAGTGGCTCATGGCAGAGTCAATTACCCGCCCATGTTTGAGTCATGGATATTCTTTGCTTGTTGGCCCTGAACTTTTGTGCACCCAGCGGCTTCGTAAGCATGTCTGCCAGCATGCGTTCAGACGGGACGTGCAGGACTTTGATGTCGCCGTTGTCGATGTGTGCGCGCAAGAAATGGTGTCTCAAGTTGATAAATTTCTGCTTCTTGGTGGGCGCTGTGTTCGTTGCAATGGCGATTGCTGCTTGATTGTCGACAAGTAAGGGTGTGGCGGCTGGAGGGAGGATGGATAACTCCTGCAATATGCATCGCAGCCAGAGAGTAGTCTGCACAGCCGTGGATGCCGCCATATACTCGGCTTCGCATGTCGATAGGGCTTGCATGGATTGTTTGGTCGATGTCCATGCGACGGGGGCGTTTGCGAATAGATGGATGGCGCCGGTTGTTGATTTGCGATCCGCCTCGTCGCCAGCGAAATCGGCATCTGAATAAGATTGAACAGGGTGGGGTCGTGTGGGTGTGGTTGGTTCGTGAAGGACAGATGAAAGGCTGGTGTGAGATTTCGAGGGTTGGTACACGATTCCGTCGTCTCTCGTGGCGACCAGGTATCGCATTAGTCGTTTTAGGTGAACCCAGTGGCGTTTGGTCGGGCTATGCGTGGCTGCTGCCAGCTTGTTGACGAGAAAAACGATGTCAGGCCTCGTACAGTCTGCTATATATCTAAGTTCTCCCATGATTTGTTGGTACTTTGCCTTGAGATGAAGTATTGGGGTATCTTTATCTGTGGGGCCATGCAGTTTGATGCCATCGGTGTAAGGGGTGCTTTTTCCGTTGGCAGTGGTCATGCGCATGTGAGTGAGGACGTTGTGGATGTACGTCGGTTGGCTGATTTTCACTGCTCCATTTTTCTGGTGTTGGATTGTCCACCCTAGGTACTGTGCTGGAGGACCGAGCCGTTTCACTTTGTACTTTTTTGATAGCGCCTGATGCAGCTTTTCGATGTGCGATGTGTGCGAGGCCACTATTAGGAAGTCGTCCGAGCTTAGGGCTATGAATATGAAGGATTTGGGTGAATGGATATTGAAAAAAAGACATGAGTCCTGCTCGCTTGGTTGGTAGCCGTGGCTGCGCAGGAATGTGTGCGCACCTTCGAGGTAAAAGTATCCCCCTGAGGGAGTGCCGTATACGTTTTTGGTTAATCGCCCGCCTGGCCCCTTGTGTTTGAGGTGACCATGGAAACGTGGGTGCTGCTTCACGTACACAGGTTTTTTGTATTTGTAGTCTTCGTGAATGTAAGCTGACTTGAGGTCAAAGTGGTCACAGGCGGGGTTACCTGCGGCCTTTATTGCAAACAAAAGCCGTATGGTATCCTTGTCTGCCATATAAGAGGCTTGTTGGGATGGGTCATAGTGGATATTCGGTTGCATTAGGTCCCCTCTTACTGAACACTTGGCTCTGTGCTCGAGAATGTCCCCATTTGTTGCGCGTTTATAGCGGTAGGTCATCGTGAGGGGGATCAGCCGGGTTTTGGGGGGGATGGAGGACCTGGGTAGCCATTTGATGGCTCCTGCTTCGTCCAATTTGTCAAGCTCGAGATTGTGTGCGCGCTCCCACAGCTGCGCGTCGGGGTATCTCATGGCCTGCTTGTGCGATCGCGGTGCCGGTGTGGGTTCTGTTACGTGGGTGGGATCCGGGTGTGGGATATGCGTTTTGTAGGCTGTCGTTTGTGTGGCGACGGGGTCCAAGGTGCGGGAGTATGGTTTGAAATCGATCGTCCTGACTCGCTTGTATTCTCCAGTTGCAAGGGTCCGCACCATGATATGCGATTCGTCGATGCCGAACATGTAACGGACAGGGTGTGCGCGGGCTTGGAGCTTTGTCTTACTGCGTATTATGGGAATGAACCCTCGTTGGCCGAATGTGTGCAATGAGGTAATTGCCGGTGCGTGCCCGTTCCAAGCGGTAAACGGTAGTTGCTTGGATGTGTGGTGCATTGCTATGTTGTACTTAAACAACACGTCGCGTACTGCATCTTCCCAGTAAACGGGGGATAACCGGCTGTGGTAGAGGGCAGCGCGGGCTGCCGTCATTAGAGTATTGTTGATGCGTTCAGCAGTCCCGTTTTCTTGCGGAGCGTAGGGCGTACTGGGTTTGAGCGTAATGCCCTCTGCGTGGTAATATTGACGTGCAGCTTTTGACATGTACTCGCCGGCATTGTCCGTCGTGAAAATATGCGGCGGGTGACCGTGACGTCTCTTGATGGTCTGTACTGTGGAGATTATGAATTGGAGTATGTTCTTTCTATTGGGCATGAAGTGTAGCATAGCATACTTGGACTTTTTGTCTATAAACGTAATGAAATATGCGTTGCCGTGGGTCGATTTGGGGGAGATGGGTCCGCAAACATCGGATGACAGGGAAACAGCGATGGAATAGCCGTGCGTGGCTGATTGTGCGGCTGCCGGCGCATTTTGCCGTGGGCACAGCCGGAGCAGGTGAGCCGTGGGGGGGTTCGCTTGAGAATTGCTGGGAGTGGCAGGAGCTCGTTTTTTGCCATCGTCTGTAAGGTTCGGGTACTGATGTGGTTGAATAAAAGACGCCACTTGTGAAACGCCGTGGCGAGTTCCGACGGAGACTGACCTGTTTCGTTGTCAGAGTCCGGCATGCGGCCAGCCGCGGAGATGTTTTGGGTCAATTTGTTGGGTAAGCCGCGCGGAATAGCGCCAATGTTTGTACGTTTACCAGCGGATGTATCCTGTGTTGGCTGCTGATGAGTGGGTAGTTTTGATCTTTGCTTTGAACGACGTTTGATTAGGATGGTTCTGGCAGCTCGTGACGAGGGGGGTGGGCCGTGGAGGACTTATTGGCCGTTGTACCATCTTGCTGACCCAGTCAATCGCGGGTTGGCCGCCTTGGTGTTAACTATGCTGGCTTTTGATGCGGAGAATACTACATGCCCATGCTGCTTGGCGATGGAGTGGATTGAGAGGAGGTTGGGATGTATGCCACGGTGTAGGACTGTTGGTAGGGTCAGCGAGTAGTGCTTATTTGTCTTGATCTGTAATATGCCAGCGTGAGTGGCGCCGTTTGATGAGGAGGTTGCCGTTCTTGTTGTTAGTGGTTTTGTCAATTGGCGCATAGCAGGGAACGAAAAATTGACGTGAGAGGGGTGGGCTCCTGAGTCAAGTATGAACGTACGGTTATGATCGTCCTCCTCGGATTCGGTTTCGTCCGAGACCTGGGCACCTGCTGCGTTTATGGCTTGAAGCGTGGCGAGGTCGATAGGATTTTGGGAGTCCGTTTCTGGGCTGAGACCGGGATCTGTGTATGCGCGTTGCGCTTTCGCGGGACGACGACCGGTTCTCCGGTGATAAGAGGAGTCACGTCCTTGTGCAGGCGGCGTGCGTATGTTTGACGCTAATTGATTTAGGTTTGCAAGATCTTGGAGCTGTTGGGCAAGGTTGTTATCATTGCGTTGGTATCCCCACCTTCCACGTCCCCTACCACGGGTATTACCGCATCGATGACTGCCGCGATACCGACCCCGATTGTCACCATGGCGAGTGTGCGGCTGGGTGGGGTAAAGTGGAGGCGATGGTGT